GGTCCTCATGCTCCCAATCCCTGTCTGTGGCTGGCTGAGGGCTGCGTCCAGTAGCATGGGATGACCAGGACTCTTGGCTCACCCTGTGAGCTCCGGTGGTCAGCACATCCCAGAGTACACAGGAAGCAGCCTTTGGTGTGCAAGGGCAGCACTGAGGGGCTTGGGCAGTGCACCTGCAGGGACTGCTACGCACCATACCAGGTTCCCTTCTCCATGCACTGTCTAAACCCTGCCTGCCCTCCCTGTACCTGCCTTACACCCTGTGCTCCTCATCAGTTTGCACTGAGCCATCGCTCTTTAGCATCTCACCATTATGGCTTTTTCTAGAAGACTTCTAGGATCTGCCTAGATAACTCCTCCTCAGCCATCAGGTCTCATCTAAGCACCTTTTCTCGGAAAGGCTTGCCCTGGCATCCTGGCGAGCACAAGTCCCCTGCTACATGCTGAGGGGGCACGGGTGGACAGGCCTGCCCAGCGCTCCTCAGAGGCTTTTCAGCAGAAAACCACATTTTACAGACTTCGGTGCCATGGGCTTCTGGAGGTCGTTGGGAAGTGTCTCTGTAGTGCAGGTGGAGCGGAGCCGGCCTTCTGATTTTTCCACTTTGTGCTTTCTGCATTCCCGTGCGTTTGTGTCAGGCAGACATGGAGATGTGGGGTTGTTTTGTGGTTCTTTTCCAGCAGTCAGGTTTTGTAGTGTCAAGAGGAGAGGAGAGAGGAGGGGACAGGAGGGGAGGGGAGGGGAGGGGAGGGAAGGGGAGGGGACAGGAGGGGAGGGGAGGGGAGGAGGGAAAAGAAAGAAAAAGAAAAACCAAAACCACAAAAAAGTGTGCATGTCCCAGCAGGCTGGTTCTGGGCTGGGCCTGTCTGTTGCTTAAAAGATGAGCACAGAGCTACCTGCACTTGGACATCCTGGTGGCATGGCCTACCTTCTGACATTGGGGTTGGGTCCTGTGAAAGAAGATAAACCGTGATGTTTCCTTCCTGAGGAGACCTAGTTCCAAAGTGAGGGCGAGCAACCCCCACAGCACAGCACTCAGAAGAGACACATTTGTTTATTGAGCTGAGCTGCCTGGCTTCCCTGGACCCTCAGCCCAGTCACAGCACAGCATTACCAAGGTGTCGGACGCCCAAAGGCAGCACTGACATGCAGCCTGCCGCTGAGGCCACAGCGCTCGGGTTAAAAAGAAACCACACAAAACTCTGCTTGTCCAGACTAGAAATTAATTTAACCCTGGCCTGTAGCAGCTGTTCCTACATTTCACTGGATGGATGAAGGCAGTCCTACCTGGTAGGGGAGGTTGGAAGGATGGGAACTGTCCACAATTAACCTTTTTATTAGCATAGAAAGTTTAAACAATCAAGGTCCCAATTTCTAACGTGAAGGTCAATTTCTTGCATCTCTGTGTACATCCTAACTGATTCAACACGCCATTGCCCGAAGATAAATTTCTATTGGTTTTTTGAAATGCTAAGAGGAGCTCTCAGGCAGTGTTAATGTATGCACTTACAACTTCATAGGTACCAGTACTGCACTAGGCACCAGTACTGCACTAGGTACTAGCACTGCACTAGGTACTAGCACTGCAGTAGGTACTAGCACTGCAGTAGGTACTGTGGATTTGATGAGTCAGAGGAAGGAAACCATTCTAATTGTCAAGGAATTTCCTGTATAGTTACGGAAACCACATTCATTAGAGAATGAATAAATTACCATTGCGCTCCTATGGGACTATAGAAGACNGGGAGGGGAGCAGAGGGGACTCAGTATTTTGCTCTTGTGTATCTATCTGGAGTGCTGTGGTTCAGACCAATAGTTGGGATGATGATGGTTTCCTTATACTGATCTTTGGATCACAGTGAATGTGGTGTGTTCCCGGAGACTCTCGATTCTCTGTCTCCTGGATGGTTTCATGCTTGGTGGTTGTCCTTGAGGAACAGGCCCATGGAATTGCTGAGAGTCACTGGAAGTCTAGCCTAGAGTCTGCTCCTCCAGCTCTTCCAAAGATTTTGTAAGCACTCAGTCCATCGATTAAACACTCTCTGCTAAAAATAAGATGTGATGGCTTATATCTCCTAAAATTGAACTTTGGTGGATATATCTCATTGCACCAATACTTTTTCGTATTTTGTTTTATTTTTAAAATAACACATAATAACTGTATATATTTATGGGTACAATATAATGTTTTGATGCATGCATACATTGTATAATGATCAAATCAGGATAATTAGCATATCTATCACTTCAAGCATTTATAATTTCTTTGTGATGAGAACAATCAGAAACCTCACTTCTAGCTATTTTGAAATATATATTATTGTTAACTATAGTTGCCCTACTGTATTTTTTAAATATTATTTTTATTTTCCATATACTTCTACTTGAAAGCAGTTTTGTATTTATTTGTGGGAGTATACAAAATAGGGGTCTTGTATTCAGAAGGTCCCATGATGATGGGCTTCTATCAGCTTTAGCTAGTATAATAACTTAGGGCAGTGGTTCTCAACCAGGGGTGACTTTGTCCCCCAGGACACATTTGGGAATGTCTGGATACTTGGGTCATCACAACTGGGAAAGGTGCTTCTGGCATTGAGTGGGTAGAGAATGGGGACGTTGCTCAGCACCCTACAGCACACAGGACAGCACCAACAGTAACCAGTCAGCAGCCCAAACTGTCAATGGTGCTAAGGTTAAGAAACTGGGATTTATGGACTTCTTTCTTTCTTTTTTTTGAGACAGGATTTCACTCCCATTGCTCAGGCTGGAACGCAGTGGCATGATCTCGCCATACTTCAGCCTCGACTTACTGAGCTCAGGTGATCCTTCCAGCTCAGCCTCCCAAGTAGCTGAGACTACAGGTGCACATCACCACACCTGGCTAATTTTTTGTATTTTTAGTGGAGATGAGATTTAGCTCCGTTGCTCAGGCTGGTCTCAAACTTTTGGGCTCAAGTGATCTGCCTGCCTCGGCCTCTCAAAGTGCTAGGATTGGGCCAGGTGCTTTGTAATCCCAGCACTTTGGGAGGCCGAGGCAGGTGAATCGCCTGAGGTCAGGAGTTCAAGACCAGCCTGGCTAACATAGTGAAACCCTGTCTCTACAAAAAATGCAAAAAATTAGCCGGGCATGGTGGTGGGCACAGTAAGCCAGCTACTGAGGAGGCTGAGGCAGGAGAATCGCTTGAACCCAGGAGGCGGAGTTTGCAGTGAGATGAGATTGTGCCAATGCACTCCATCACTCTTGGGCAATGAGAGTGAAACTCCATCTCAAAAAAAAAAGTGTTAAGATTACAGGCATGAGCTACCATACCTGAGTAGTTTTCTTAAACTATATCAAATAGCGTACAGGATCTCTGGGGGAGCAGAGAGCTTGGTGAAATGTACAAGCACAATCCAGACTGCTCCAGGAATCACCCTGATTAAGGACTAGATGCAAGATGCCCTCCTGGGCAGGGGAGTGATTATTGATCCTTGCTATGCAGAGAAGGACATGGAGATAGGCTCGTCTTGACAGAAGCTTGGGTCTGTTCTAGTCCATGCTTTCCTGGACTCCCACACCCTTCCTTTTGTAGGACTCTCTGAAAAGTAATCACTAATAACCTGACTGAGTGACTTGCAAGTTCTAGCCAGTAATAGAATGGCAGTTGTCTCTTTTATCCAAATTGGTAACATTTTGAAAGATTTTATGACTTTAAGGTAGTCTTTTTGTCTAGACATATTTGTGTGTGTGTGTGTGTGAGGGTGTTATATATTTATGCACACGTAGGCTATTTATTTAATTTTCAAGTAATTCAAGAATATATTATCATCATAGAAAACATCAGAAGATAAAGAAATACATAGAGAAAAAAGTGAAAATCCCATTTGAACTTCTCTCCCTCTTCACTTGCAATCCCACTGCCCTTCACAAAGGCATCTGCTGCTACATTCTGGTGTGTATTCTAGATATTTGGTGTGCATACATTTTCTATGTGTTTACACGCACAAACATGCGTGTAGAAAAGGCATGGTTTTGTTTGAGGATTTGTCTAATTCTTGTGGTCATATGTATGATTTTGCAACTTCCTTTCTTCATTCCCCTCGCTGACTTTTTTTTCTTTTAACTTGATGTGTCTTGAAGAACTTTATACTGAAGAATATCTGGCTTCACCTCATCCTATTGGCTGCTGCCTAAGTGTGGCGTGGGACAGATGTGTTGCTTTCAGGCAACTGTAGAGTGGTGATCACAAGCTCTCCACCTGCAGTCAACCTGCTGGGGCTAAGATTGTGGCTTCACCACTTTGTATATATGTGACCTGGTGCACTTTAGTTAGCTTTCTTGTCGCCTAGTTTTCTCATTTATGCCCTGGTTCTTCATCTGTTAAAAAAAATGTGAGCTTGTGGAAGTCATTCACTTCCAACAGATTAAACAGATGTGCTTGCATTGCAGACACCATCTACCATGTTTTCCCCAGGTCTTGACATGAGAAGGGATGCAGTTTGAATTGCATTGAAACCTCATTTGTTCTTTTCTAAAATTTTATTTTCCCTGGCAAAAGAACTCTAAGCAGATATAGTTGAAACCCAGGTTTTAAAAATTCCTAGCTCAAGAAATTATATTTTACGTAGTTTCCCAGAAATTTTTCATTCACGACCTGCTGGCTACAGGCAGGATATCAGTTGATTCGCATGATTCTTTATTTCACCTTGGCATGTCTTTTATCAGAAATCATATGGAAACTTTTTAATTTATGGGCTTTTATTGCAATCCTCAATTCACCCTGAGTAGTCTATTATTAAGTGTTCTAGAGGTTCTTATTGTCCTTTATCAGAGAATTGTATCTCGGCGCAATTCATCTGTAGTCATTCTTCACAGAGAAAATCTTTCATATTACCTTTCTTTCATCATATAACGACAACTCTTGAATACATCATTATTCCACAATGAGCTTATAAATTATTATCATTAGACAATTTTTCATATAATCTGATTTTATAAACTGTTTCTTTTTATTATCGTTAGAGGGGAACCAGTGAATGCATCTGTCTGTTTTGATCCACCATGATAACAGTAATAGAAAAACTAAGTAAGGACATCTTACTGAGTTGCAAACATACTGGATTTGTAATGACTTCAGACCAGGATATTCACGTGCAAATAGCCAAGCACCATGGCCCTCTCTTATGAGTCACAGTGCCACCGATAGTGGCATCTTAATTGGTAGTGCTGAGCTACCCAGATGTCTTAAACTGGATTTTTTTTTTCTCACAGAAATGAGTTTTTATTTTTATTTTTTTTCATTTTTGTTTTGAGACAGGATCTTGCTTTGTCACCCAGTCTGGAGTGCAGTGGTGTGATCATGACTTACTTGAACTCCTGGGCTCAAGCAATGCCCCCACCTCAGTCTCCAGAATAGCTGGGACTGTAAGCGTGTATCACCATACACAGCTAATTTTTAATTTATTTTGTAGGGATGCGGTCTCACTATGTTGCCCAGGCAAGTCTTGAACTTCTGGGCTCAAGCAATCCTCCCACCTCTGCCTCCCAAAGTGCTGGGATTACAGATGTGAGCCTCTGTGTCTGACTGCCAGATTTGCATCTTAAAGGACTGTTCCATTGAAGTAAGTTTTTAAAATGTAAAATAAAATATTTTTAAATGGAGAAGAAGCCAAAGTAGATTACTTAGGAATATGTGATTTGCTAAGTGTAATGGTAACCGAAGGAAGACCTCTCACCTGTGACCTACCTACCTCCCGGAAACCTATTTGCCTGTTTTTAGAGAATGCATATTTTGTCATATAGAAGTAGGAAGGTACATTTTTCACATATGGCTTTTAGATCAGTGTTGTCCGACAGAACTTACTGTTATGATGGGCCTGTTTATCCCCTGTTCTGTTCAATATGGCAGTGGTGGCTGCATGCAGTGTTGAGCTTGTGAAATGCGGCTAGTGCTACTGAGGAACTGAATTTAAATTTTCTTTAACACTTAAATAGCTTCACGTGGCTAGTGGCTATTGTCTTGGGTAGTGCAGTTTTAGGTTGTCCTTAGTTTGTAGTGTGTATATTCTATGTTACTGCTTGTTTCCAATAGTTTGGGTAATTAAGAACTGACTAGCGTTTCTCCACCCAGTCTAATCAATCCTTTAGGTGAGTAGAACACATAACACTGATTCGAAAGACAACAATTTTTTTTTGAGATTGGATCTCGCTTTGTCTAGTGCTGGAGCACACTGGCGTGATCTCAGCTCACTGCAGCCTCTGCTTCCCAGGCCTGAGCAATCCTCCCACCTCAGCCTCCTCAGTAGCCGGGACCCCAGGTGCATGCCACCATATCCAGCTAAATTTTGTATTTTTTGTAGAGATAGGGTCTCACTATGTTGCCCAGGGTGGTCTTGAACTCCGGAGCTCAAGTAATCCTCCTGCCTTGGCCTCCCAAAGTGCTGGGATTACAAGTGTGAGCCCCTGTGCCCAGCCAGGAAAACAATATCAACAATAACCAGCCTTCTCAGAGCTCTGCTTGTCTTTTCACACATTACCTGGCTTAACTAATCAAATTAAATCTTCCCACCAGTAACGAGGGAGGTAATACTTTTATCTTCACTTTGCAGTTAGGGAATGAAGGAAGCACAGAGAGCTTAAGTGACTCGTCCAAGGCCACACAGCTAGTGGCTGTCCACCTGCCCTCTTTCATATCCCATCTACATGTGGGTTTAACGTTCTATTCTACTGCATTTACAAACATGTCTATTCCTATACTGCTTCCACATAGTTTTATTAATATTTACTAACATTTTATATTAAGTTCTGATAACTGCAGGCAAGTCTCCCTCTGTGTTCTTTTTCAAATTGGTCTTAACTTATTCCAGAGCCTTTGCTTGTTTATATTAGGGTCTCCCAACTTTGGTATCATTGGTACTTGGGTCTAGATTATTTGTGGTAGGATCTGTCCTGTGTGCTGTAGGATGATGAATACCATCTCTGGTCTCTACACCTAGACTCCAGACATTACCAAATGTCCACTAAGGGCAAGAATCACTCTTGGTTATAAACTATGGTTCTGGATAAGTTGTAGAGTCAGTGTATGAAATTTCAAAAACAGTTTGGTTTGAGTGTTGATTGAAACCCTGTCAAATTTATAAATTAGTTTTGGGAAGAATCATTATCATTATAATATTGAGTCTTCTCAAACAGGGACCCCTTTTACCTCAACATTTTCTCAATCTCATTTCATGTCTTTAAATAACATTTTGTAATTGTCCTCACAAAGGTTGTGTGCGTCTTTTGTTAAATTTATTCCTGGGCATCTTGTGGTGTTTTGCTATAATAAAGAGATATTTTCTTTTCTGATTCCAAGAATTGGTCATTATTGCTATGAAAGAACATTAGCAATTTTTAATGTGTTTGTCTTACATATGAAAATCTTCTTGAACTCTTTTATTAATTCTAATAGTCTGCACATCTTCTAGAATTTTTTATGTAGATAATTATATTGTCTGCAAAATAACCACAATGTTGACCCATTGTTTAACATTCTTACACCTTGTTCTTTTCCTCATCTCATTGCACTGACTAAGACCGCCAGGAAAATGCTGAATTCTCGCAGGGACAGAGGGACACTTTCATTTTACAAGCAAAGAAACAAAGACTTGGGGCTGTCCAAGGTCATTCAGTGAATTAGAACAGCGTAAAGGCTAGATTCTAAGGTTTACAAACTTCTTTTTCCTTTATTCCTTCTTGCTGCTTTTGTTTTGGTTAATTTAGCGAAAATAAAAACAATTTGCTGTTAGAACTCTTTTCATTTTAAACCTATTAAAGCCTTAAAAGAAAGTTACTTACAGTCTTTTGTACCTGCGGAGTATAATGCATCAACACACTGATACTGACATAAAACCTCTGTTATTCTCTCATTATAAAAGCATGTCAACTCTCTAATATCTACTAGTCTGCAAGTATGTTTCCTCTTGGAAAATGCCTGAGGTAGTGTCTTCCTGCTAGTGAGAGATATTAAGGGGATCTGAGCCCTATAATAACAATAGCTATGTTAGATGGATCATTTAAAATGAAGCAGGAACTGTGATAGATACTTTACAAGTATGCCCTCATTATGTCTTTATAACAATACACTAAGGTGTGGATTATTATCCCTGTTATACAGATGAGGAAACTGAACTTCAGGGCAGTAGGTAATTTGCCCAAGGCCTCTTGTTTCTAAGTTTGCTGAGCCTGGACTCAGACCTGGGTTGGACACCAAAGGAAATGGCCTACTTGCTGTAGATTTTGGTCATTGGTAGGTATACACACGTAAAATTAATACTGGATGGATTCAAATTCAGTTTGATGGGCCTAGGAGTTAATTCTTATTGCTTAGGTTCAGCAAATGAAGTTGTCTCCTAGCATTACTTCCACATAAATACATATGAAGTAGGAAAAGATTTGATTTAGTAAATGCCTCCAATATGCTGGGCACATCATGCATCTTATATCTTATCTGTGTAACAAATTCGAAAGGAAAGTCTTGCTAGTACCACTTCAGGGAATAAGAGACTGGGGTTCATGGAGATTTAGAAACAGCTAACGAGGAGCACAGCTGGGTTGCACACTGCTTCTTGCACCACATCAGGCTGACCAGTTGGCCTGTGAGCCCAAAGTTCTGTTTTGATCACACTAGATTCTCAGTTGAAAAAGTAGAGTCCAGCAGTTGCTTTTTAAAGAATCATTTCCGTCATTATGCAGTATGTGGAACCAAAGAGGGGCTTCTATAAACATGAGTACATGTTCCCAGACAAAGGAGATAATATCGAAGAGAAACAGCCGTTATCTAGAACATCTGTTAGGCTGTTTCTCCTGGATTTAAATAATGCATGGCATGCTCTAATTCAGGTGTGCTCTAAAAACCCAGCAGCTTCTCCTGTGATTTCTGTGATCCCTGGGTATGATGAATGAGAATATCTGTTGATCATGGAGTACACCACTTAAGCACTTTGGCTGCAGATCAAATTTTCTATATTTTTAACTATAATTATAGCTATAACCAACACTACTTATCTTGCTTTATAATTTACATAGTGATTCCACATTCAGTGTCTCATAAGCATTTAATCCCCAAAATGGCTCTGCCTGGCAGTCATTAATATTGTCCTCACAATAGTGTTTTTGAGATTGCCCACATGTATCAACAAAGAGAGACATCCAAGGAATATTGTTCTTTGAGAAGAATGGATTTTTACAATATGGTTTAATGTGGTACTGTTTTAGTTGAATTGTGTTCAGAAAAAAAGATGAAGGAACGTATATGAAGCAGTTAGCTGATATCTCTGGGGGTATGAGTTTCAGAAAAGCTTCTTCATTCTATTTTACATATGCCTGAATTCCTTTTGTTAGTTTTTAAGTTTAAATTTTATAAATGTAAATGGTTTTTTGAAATATATATTTTACACAAATACAAAGTCATACAGGTATATTGTTAAAAAAATTGTGCAGTCCCATAAGGTTGGCAATAAGAGAGGTATTCTACCTTGTCACTCACTCCTACCAGTATTAGAAGGTAAAAACCCTGAACTCATAGAGCACCATTTTAGGGATTAGGAGACTGGGGTTCATAGAGATTTGATAACAGCTAATGAAGAGCAGAGCCAGGATGGGTATTTATTACTCCATCTCAAACTGAGTGGTTTTACTGTTATTTGTTATTGTTCAGTTTTAGATATTGTATGTTGACTTCCTGCTGTGCAAGATGAGGATTCAGACCCCTTCCATACCTCCTTTCCATCCCTCATCATTCCACTGTGGTCATATCATTAGTCACTGTGAGACATGCACATTATTATGACTGCAGGTCAATAGTGCTTGCAGCCAAGCCATACCATGTGCTGTCTAGACTCACATTTCCATTCATGTACAGCTTCTCCTCCGAAGTTAATAATAGTCTATTTTTAAAAAAACATTTGATTGTTATTCAAAGAAAATCACTCATTCATTTTCAAGCTTTCTACTGGGAGCCTGTTTCTTCTCAAGATGATACAGGACAGGGAAGCTTCAAAATTGGGACCTAGCATGAAAGGGTTCTTGGCTTCACTCAGGAAAGGATTCAAGGTCAGTAGTGAGAGAAAGCAATTTTTAGCAAGTGCTGGCTGGCTCAAAGGCAGCGTGCTCAGCATCAGCAGTGTACACTGGCAGCTGTAT